AAAAACTAATGATGCACCAAAATACATAGTAACATTTTCCTTCTCAGTTACATCTTTAGAATCTCAAAAGAGATCAGTGTAACCTTATTAACCAAGGGAAACTGGTACAAGCAGATACGAAAGCCAGCTGCATGTTACGTGACAGATATTATAGTGCTTCAGACATACAGCTCTCTTTTTCAAAGGCAAACACCGACCTCTATGGGCAATATGTAATAGTGCAAAATAAGAGTACCAAAGAAAGGCCAGACACATGCAAAAAAATGCAGAAACCTTTGTCCACCTCTCTGTAAGACAAAGTCATTAGGCTGAAGTAGGACATGGGTAAGGATCCTTTCTCTGGATGCAATGATGGATTTCAGAAGCAGTTACATCTCTCACTAAAACGGCTTTCATCAGTTTTTGTCATCCTTCCGTAGAATAGATTTGGTCTGTAAAAAGACTTAATTCAACATGCAAAGCACTACTAATACACACAAAAGCACACCCCAATGCTTGAACCTCGTGCACTGCAGGTGGTCCTGAGCCCCCAGGACAATGAGGAAAAACAGGCTTGACTCCATGCCAACATCTGAGATCCTCCTGGCCAAGGCTGTGACAGTCATCCAGCCCTGGCCCTGGGGTTGCATGGAGTATGTAAGGATGGGCAACCAGGATGAAGGAGCAGATGTCGCAGTGCTGGAGGATGGCCTGCTGGCAATATGGCTTCTCCTCATCCCTCTTCAAATACAGAGCACTGCCTGCATGCAGAACCATAGCTCTCTGTGTGACGGAGACTCAGGCCACACTGGGAGAAAAAACAAGACACAAACTATGACACAAAATGCAAAAATATGAAACAGCACTGTGTGGCTGGGCAGTGGGAAGATGAAACAAGTCTCATCCTGACAGAGTGAGCACAGGCAGATCTGGACTATCCCCCAGCACCTTCAGTACTATGGTCCAGTTGCAGGAGGCTGTTCTGACCTCTTCAGTGAAAAAATAAATAAACAGAGCAAAATTTTAAGGTTTGCTATGCCTCAGAACTGCAACAGGGCAAGACACTGCAGCTCCATAACGAAAGGGACATGGGAAACACATTGCTCCTCTTCCTGCTCTTAATTTTAATCTTCCTTAAGTTAATGACAAGGATGCAAACAAATGTAGTTTTCCTAATTGGTTTAGGATCAGTTTCCATGCCAAGATTTAATCTATCTTTTTGCAACAAAGGGCTTTTTAAGCCAATGGTGAACAACTGTAATTTTGTAAATATTTTTGCAAGTACAAATTCTTCATTATTAGATATAAAACTATCATGAAATAACACTAGTAATCAGTTTATTATATACTTTTCTGTAATTCTGGCACACAGACTACAGCTTGCTAGCAGAGAAAGTGTAATTTTAAATTAAAGACATTAAGGGCATGTTTTAACCTAAAACTGTAGAAGTGATGTCTCATCAAAAGTAAGGAAGAAAGAAGATAAAAAAGAAAATAAAAGAAAAAAAGATAAAATCTACAAATTTAATAAAACTTAATACTTGTAGAAGATGATAAAATGTTTCAGAATAGCATTTTTAGTCCTCACAAAGCTTTTTGGCCTTGCTATATTAAAAGGCTACCTCCACGACGCATACTGGGAATTTTTAATGTTTTTAACATTCCTATGACTTGTAGTAGGGAAAAGTTAGAGGGTGATGAAGTTAAGACTGAGTGATGGAGTTAAGTCATATCCAGGCCTTGCACTAAAGTGATGCTGTCACAGAGAAGGTAATGACCACAGTTTGAAGCTCTAAAAATGGATGAAACAGGTAAAAGTAGAAGGTTAAGCATTCAGAAGCAATGATATTCAATAACATACTCAAATACAAATCTAATGTGACCTTCTGTCTTCAAAGAACCGGAAGTCGACAAGTTTATATTTAGGAATCCCCTGCTTGCCCTTTTTCCTGTACATCTGTCCTCCTCCTGTTGGGCCCTGGAAAATCTCCATCAGCTACTTCATTGCTAAATTGAATTCTGCCTGCATGATATCATCTGAAAACAGTGATATTACATGTTTTCATAGGGTATGAAATTTCTTGTTTTGCCCTTTGGAACAGAGTTTAGCGAGCTTCCCAGTTTAATGAGATCTTCCATTAAAAATTAACAACCACCTCATAAAAGACATTTCAGTATTGCATAAGGAAGTAAAAGAAACGAAGCACCTGAAATCTCTGACAGCTAGCTATGGGCAGTTTTAACAAATAGAAACACAATCAAGCAGGAAACAAACCCAGGCAAAAAAAGTACAAATGTATATAAACTTCTACATAAATGCTAGAAGTTGGGGAAAAGATGTCACTGAACCAGAATATCTAATTTTAAAAGGAAATGTCATGTCAGCAATTTTTTAAAAAATCAGGGTGCATTCAATGCTTTAGAGCTGTGACCCTTACTCCTGGTGCTGTTGTTACCAGGATAATATCCCATCAAATCTAGTTTAGGAGTCCCAGCATGAGGGCATTTCCTCCTGGGCAACGTTCCTGCCTTCTCCACTTGACAACTACACAAGATACAGAGCCACTGTGTCAGCTGTCCACAATTTAAATTGTGAGACATAGAAAAACCTACAGTAATGCGTAGCTTTGTCTTCCACGGCAATAATCTCAGTGAAGGATTTTGGCAGGTGCCCAACACATTTACAATACTATTTCTAAGGATGAACCAGCCTTTAATAAGAAGTTGAGTTTACAGGGGAAAACTTATTTCTGTTGCTCTTCTCTACAATTTTATTTCTAAGGAAACAGTGACCCCATCTTTCAAAAATTTGCCACAGATCCTTCAACAACTGTTACACTGTTAACAGTTTAATTAATCATGGAATAGCTGAGGTTGGAGGCACCTCTGGAGATGGTCCAGGCCCAAACCCCCTGCTCAATCAGGGTGCCCAGGACCGACCAGTTGAGTTGGAGTATCCCCAAGGATGGAGGCTCCATAATTTCTCCTTTGCCAGTGTTCACAGTAAAAAAGCATTTTCTTATGTTCCTAGGAATTTCCTGTGTTTCAACCTGCGTCCATTGCCTCTTGTCCTGTCACCAGGCACCACTATCCAGAGTCTGTCTCTCTCCTCTTTATACCCACCCATGAGATATTCATAAATATTGAGAAGATCCCCCTTGAGCCTTCTACTCTCCAAGCTGAGCACACCCAGCTCTTTTGGCTTCTCTTCATACAACAGATGCTCCAATCCCTTAATCATCTTTGTGGCCCTTCACTGGACTCGCTCCAGTAAGCTCACATCTCTCCTGTACTGGGGAACCCATGACAGGACACAGTACTCCAGATGTGCCTCTCCAGTGCTGAGGTAAGAGGCAGTGGCCTCACAATGACATGGGCCAGCTCCCTCAGCATTCATGGGCACACCCTATGTCCCATAGACTTCATTACATCCAATTTGTTTACAGGTTCCCTGACCTGATACTCCTCCACCAGACAAAGGAGGAGTCTTTCTTCCTTGTGCCAGACTTTCTGGCTGCAGGCAGATGGAGCTTAATGAAGGCTGGCATCAACAAGGACTCAGACCTCTGGTGAGCTTTTGGTTTTATCACAGGTTACTGCTGCGTGGATAAAAGCAGGACTGGCAGTTGACTGAAGGCTGGTCATTACTTTATCGCTAATATTAGTCACAAATTACACAAGACCTTGGTTAATGTAAGCTACCAGATGGCCACTCCAGCAACCTCTTCAGAGAGAGATTTCCAAAAGCTCTTGGTACTTTGCATGTCTTGCTCACTATATGCATGGGGCAGTAAGCCTCACATTACACCTATGTAGCATCTTCTCAATCTATAGATGTTTGGGTTTTTTTTTTTTTAACTGGGTCAACATTGCTGATTTTGGTGCAACAATAAACTGTCTCTCGCTGCTGCATAAGCACTTTGAATGAGCTGAAAGCTAACAATGGACTGAAACTGTGCAGATGATAAAAAGAAGGCAGTTCACACTAATTTTTTTGCATTAGCTTTATCCCAGCAAACATTATGAAACTTATAATGGGATAAACCCACCAGCTAATTCTGGGTCCGAGTAGAGAGGAAGAACTCCATAAGAAATGTGCTGCAAGAGACAGATCAAACAGCTCCAGGCATAACAGTTCCCACTACCTCATGTGGTGTTGGTGGTAGCATTTCCCAGCTCCCCTTGACTGCACTGCCACAGCGACACACAAACTCAAGGGGAGGAGGACTCTCGATTCAGCTACCTCACTGCACTTGGATCACTTCCTCACTGCCTCACCAGGAGATGCATGAGCATGGACACCGAAGCCAGGGTCCCCATCCCTTCCCCACCTCTGCTAGCATTCATTATTTTTCACTATTTCCACAGAGCCACCCTCCTTAAGCTTGTCTGCCCCACAGTGTAAGTGAGAGATAGGACCTTCTTGGTCGTAAAGCACCCAACTATGTAAGAGCCACAGCTGCAGAAGTTTAAATACAAGTCTTCCATTTAAAGCTGCTCTGAATTTAATGTTTCTTAATGACACATAAGACATTTATAGTTTTCTATAGAATAAAATTATCTCTCCCCCTTTTTTCATTTGCACTCTATAAGTACTTCATTTTTTAAATTGATGACTAGCTAGCTGTGATTGGGTGATTTATTTAAATATTAGCATCATTTCCATGAATAGTTTTATCCTTTTCATAAACAGAAGTTCTACCACAATTCAGAAATACTTAAAAGGCCATCAGGATTATAAGGATAGCTTTCCTGTGCACAGTAAAGGGTTCTTACACCATGCTTCTAATCCATCTGTATATCTTCAGCATTTTTAATACACCTTGCTCTGCAAAACTACAGAGCCATCTGTATGTCTTCTTCAGGCTCAGTTGTTTTTCTCCCTTCATAATTATATCTATGCACTAAATCCTTTAAACCTCTATCCAGTCTGCAACTTCATTGGCTCAAACTAATGAAGAGAATTTTCTAATTCCCTTATGATAATCCTATTACCTGTCCAGAGCTATTTCTGCAAGGGTCATCATTACACAGAGATGTAAATCTGAGACCAGGTCTATCTGTGGTCAGTTGTAATCCAGCTCCTCTCCTGGAAACCACCAAGGACATTTGTCAGCACTCAGAAAAAGTGGACCTGAGCAACTGAGCCTCTCAGGTAGAGTAATTTGTATGTTGATTGCCTTTCAAGTTTATTTGAGAAGGGGAATAAAATATGGTGTTTCAAAGACGGCCACAGCCGCTAAGATTTATTAGCAGTGTATTAAATGTTCTAATAGATAAACTTAATTGATGTGGTCTCAGAAGAACCTTACTTTTGGCATCAGGCTGAAATGTAGCTGTTGAGAGAAAAACTAATGCCAGATTTCTAGTTATGAATTTGGCAGGCTGTTTTGATTAAACTGGGAATAACAACCTCTGAAAGCTGTCATTATTTGTGCTTTAAATAAATAGAGGTTTTGCTCTAGCATGGACAATAAACAGTGCTTCACTCCAGATGAAGTAATTTTGGGGAAGAGGAAATGGGTTAGAAATCTGACCCCTGAGCTGCTGATGGTGTGTGCCCAGACTAGCAGAAGCAACACCTATGTCTAATTTAATGGAGCTTTTATATTCCTTGCATGGAATCCTGTATCTCTTTATTTGACTTTGTCACTGGTTTAATTCCAACACATGATTTCTGCTCTTTTGTAACCTATCTTCGAATACTATCCTGTATATAAAAATTTGCAAAGAATATAAACACAGCATTTCTTTTGCCTGTAGTGGGATGGAGTTCTGTGCTCTGGTGAAAGGTGAGTGAAGGTCTCAAATGCCTGGGATAATCCCCAGAAAATGTTAATGTCTGGGCACATCGTTTTCAGAACCCCAAGAAATTCTAAATCCTACCTTTAGAATAAATCCTTCTTACCTGGGTATCTAATTTCAGCCTCAGAATCATCTTTCGAAAGTATAAATATTGGTGTGAAAGAATAATGAACCAAATGTACTAGACAAGAAATGTCACTATGTAGCTGGTGTGACAGCATTAGTTTTAGGCAGGTTGCAAAGTATGTAACTAAAGGTAGAAATGATGTGTTACATGAAAAGATGAAAAAAGTATCCCCATCTAGGTGGTGACTTTGAGGGCAATCTGCCATTGACAGCAATGGAAAAAATCACCAGGTCCACAGGTCAGTGGAGATGCAGAGACTGCTTTGCTTACCTATCAACATTTTGCTGTTCTTAGTGGCACGTCTTTGTCATTTGTACTCAGATTTGGATTTGGCAGTGGGCATAAAACTAGTCATGTTTTATATCTGTATGTCAATCCTTAGAAAATAGTCATAACATAAGCAAACCAAGAAAACTCAGTATATGTAACAGTCCACCTCCATTTTTTGATACTGAGAGATTGCTTTCTACAGCTGAGAACCCCAGAAGATGAGCACGTTGTGAATTGTACAGGTCTAAGTGGTCAAGAAACCTCAGGGCAAAATTACATTTTGGATTCTTGCTTCCAACCTGCTTACACAAGCATGATCTCCACAATCAACAGCTTTACAAGTTTTCTGCAAGTACTTGATATTTTTTTTGACAGGAGGGAACAGTTTGAACATAAAGTCACTCTTCTGCAGCTGATATATACCAGATTGTTAGAATTATATGTGAATACTTCATCCCATTTCAGAAAGGGATTTTAGGCTGATCTCTGTTATAAATATTCATGTCTAATCCTAGAAATTCTAATTACAGCACAGCTAAAATCATGGGAAAATGCATTAGGAAATGAAAGATAATAATCAGAATAATAGTGTCACAGCAAACTGCATAGCTAAAGATGATTGCTATATGCCAGCATATGCAACTACTGTTTTCCAGTGACAAAGGGAACTCATCACTTGCAGCAATGGATCTTGAAGCCATCGCAGGGTTCCCTTATTCCTAATTTACAAAGTGCAAAAACCCTACAGGTATTTCACAACTTCAAAATACTCATGATGCCATCTGTTTACATCCTCCTCTCAACTGCAAATTTTTTTTCCTGGGTGAATTACTTTATTAAAGAACATCTCTGCCCCTTTCCAGCACTCCAAAAAATAAGATCATAGAGAGCACCAAATCAGAAAAAAAGGCCTGATACAATCAGTAGCCCCACCTCAGTGGGGAAATAATTTTCAATAAATATTGTACTAGACTGGATTACAGGGATTAGTCAGATCAGCTGTGCAACTAACTACAGTTAAAGGATGCTGTGATTCTCACTCTATGCGAAAGCAACTATATGCGAATGCAACTTCAGAACAGTTTTATATGAAGAAGACACAATAATTTATGAATAATCTACATCACCCTTAAATTTCCACCCCATCTTCTAGGCCTATTACTTTCTTAGAGCACTTTCAGATAGCCAGCTGTATAAAACCACAATACAAACCCATATTCCACAAGCCACCTGTGGACAGAAAACCCTCCAGAGACTGTACAGCAGTCTGGTTAGACACTGGTGGGCAAGGAAAAGACAGAAAGACAGAAAGACAGAAAGACAGAAAGACAGACAGAAAGACAGAAAGACAGAAAGACAGAAAGACAGAAAGACAGAAAGACAGATCAGGTTGCCTCCATTATTTGGTAGGTTTAACAGGGCAAAAGGTGCAGTGAACTTAGCTGGAGTGTCTAGTAACTAGTTTTCAGTGCTATCCTCTCAAACTACATAATAGGCTTCATTTTAAGGCTTATAGCTAACCACTGTTAGGCTGAATTATAACCTTAATTCTGAATTCATTGAATGAGCACAAAGATTTAGTCTGAGTCCGAGTATAGTGAAATGTTTCTCACAGATTCAAATGTAAGCTGAAACATGCTATAAATCAACTCAGAGAATACATCTGTCGTATTGTGACGAGTGTACACCACAGCTTTTGCCTTTAACACTTAACACCTACAGAGTTCAAGGGAAAGCTGTAGGACAATTTTCATAATCAGTACCCAAGTACAGAGCAGTTCCTATTCTGCTGCTTACTGGAAGGAAGATGCCAAAGAAGTATGAGTAGAAGCACAAAAACTGGAAGAGAGAAATGGAGTCTATCCACTATCAAGTATGAGTTGGTCAAAATTAGGGGAATAGCACTTTCTTGGCAAAAGAACAAAAATAAATCCAAAACAACAAAATCCGTTCCAACTATTTCAAGGGAAAGACTGTGAAATCATGTCAACTCTTGTATTAATTTTTTTTTTTTTTTAAGCTAAAAGATTTCAATAATTCATTGGCATTTTCATTTCAGACAGACATGCAAGATGAGGGCAAAACAAGTAGAGGAAGTATGATAAGTCTGAAAAAGAGCTCCAAATATTTGCCTGCCAAAATAAGAAACTGTTTTTGATGACCCAGAATCCTTTCCACTCCAACAGCTACAGATAATAGAAGAAGGAAAAAACAAGAAATTGCACTGAGCAAATGTCATAGTTTTTCCCACTGCATTCCATTAGAAGGAGTGATGGTAAGGTTGTTGGAACAGTGATTCTTGCAGAGAGAGCTAAGCTAGGCTTTAAAGAGACATCTCAGCTGCTCCGAGGAAAGTACCTGCTCCACTACAAAACTCCACATGGTCATAGCCCCACCAAGAAATTTCCAAACTATCACTCTTGTTACTTAAGCCAGCCATTCCATCAATGCTCTGTGAACTATAACAGCAGCAGTGATTTCAGCCTAAACTCAACCACACTGGCTGGCAGATTCAGTTCTTGATCTTTCTCAGCCTCATACCAAACTACTGACTAACAGGACTTGCACAGAGCCAGGTGAAAATGTGTTATCAAAGTTCTTGGCAAAAACTATTTCACTGATTTTTTTTGTTCTAGTTGTTTCACTTTTGATGAGGACTTCCACAAAAACAGTATCTTTGTTTTGAAAACATTAAAGTAATAAATTCAAATGTCAACTTGAAATTAATTTTTTTTCTGTAAGTCATTTATAATACAACATAATATTTAAAATATTCTCAAATTATTCCATCTATGAAATATCTTAAGGAAAGTTGCTTTGCTTAATCTGAGATGAAAGCAGGCTATAAAAGTCTTGACATTTTGACACAAAGTATCAAATAAAATAATCGTGGTGCTGAGTCGTACTCTTCATAATTGCTGGAATCCCATTAAAATAGCTGCCTACAGCGGTACTAAAAGATAATCACAATTCTCATTTCTCCTTATAGCAGGGATACTGTCTAGGCTTAAAGCAGTAAAGATACTAGTTAATCCTTTTCTCAGAGATCCCCTAAGGAAGGCCTTTGAATTTTTTAAATAAAGCAAACTGAGACAGTTTTGAAAGAAATTATGAGATAAAGCCTTGGATCTCACCTCTCTGAAAGCACACAATAATGAAATGCCTTCACCAACAATTCTATGTTAAATCCAAGCCTGTCAATGCTGTTGACCATTAAATTCAGTGATGTTGTCCTTTGAACCCTTAATGACATGCAAAACTGGTCATGGGGTGACCTCTGTTCTTTCTTGAGAAGAGATCTCAGAAGGCAGCATTTAGCAACTGCTCACATTTGTTCTCTTGCATGTTGGACGCTGTCCAGGTTTGTTAATTTTTTTTACATATTGCTTTTGGTCGCAGGCAAGAGGTACATTTGAAAATACAGCCTAGCTAAAATTAACCTTCCTAAGCTTTAAGCCAAAACAGGATGAAGTAAACCCACAGAAAGAGTTAGGAGAAGTCAGGATGTATCAGATGAGGAAACATGCCAGACATTGACCATCTGAGGCCTAAATATAATGCCTTTAGGCCTTGGGGACTTCCTCAGTGCCCACACTATGGCCCCCTCCAGGCACTCGTTGCTTTTCAGGAGACTGTCTCTCCCAATGAATGCAAATTTTTGTCCCCATTATTCATGTCTGTATTCTCTCAAGGTTAGTTAAATTCTGTAGTTTGCCCAAAAAGGGTTTCAGACCACTGAACCAAGTTGTCTTGGAGATGTCAGTAATCCACAACCTATGGTAAACAACACACTAGAATGTATTTATTCAGAGTTTACTTAGATAACTTAATAAATAACTTTGGAAAGTGGCTATATATTTAAAACACAGTAGCAATCATTTTAGGACTTTAGAATTTTATTATACTATTTTAGTATGAATATTGATGCATCACCAGGACTCTCCTACAATACA